AAAACTCTGGATCAATATACATTTAGTGGATAATTAGTGCCTAGACTACGAAAACAAGTAAAAGATTACCATGAAGTCATGCAACTAATAAAAGGGAAAACGAACAACCAGTATTCAAAAGAAAAATAGCCAGCAGTATTTGGAAAATATTAACTGTTTTTAGTCATCAGGAACAAAAAGAAACTGATTCTCAGATTCAGCTCACAGCAATCACCATGACCACTATCAGGAAAACAAATGGCAAGAAATTCTGGTGAGGGTGGTGGAGAAAATGAACCTCAAAACTCAGACAAGAATTACTGTTGGATTAAGTTATCATAATTCCAGGTATATACCAAAGACATTAGAGTCACCATACCACAGTGGCACCTACACACTGATATGTATCATTGTGTTATTCATAACAGCCACACTATAAAACCAACCTAGAGATCCATCTCATCTGTGGAAGAAAGAAAAGAAATAAAGAAAAAAAAAGGAAAATATGCTGTGCTTGTACAAAGAAACTGTATTCTTTCACTTGTTTGGTTAAACTAAGGCATTTTTTACTATTTGTGGCTATTGTGGTGTGTTTTCCCCTTATTTCTTTCTGAATCCCCCTATCTTTTATATACAGGAAGACTATTGATTTCTTTGAGCTAATTTTCTATACATCCACTTCCCTGAAATTGTTTTATCAGCTGTAGAAGTTCTCTAGTAAAGTTTTTGATTCGCTTAAGTATACTATCACAACATGCATAAACAGTAATACATTTACTTTTTTCTTTTAAATTTGCAGCATCTAATCTACACTTCCTCCTGTCTTACTGCTCTAACTAGAACTTCAAGTACTGTATTGAGTAGACAGGAAGAGAGTGAGCACCCCTCTCCTTGTCCCTGATTTTGGTGGGATTGTCTCAAGTTTCTCTCCATTTAATTTGGTGCTGGCTATTGGCTTGGTGTATGTTGCTTTTATTATGTTTAGATATGTGCCTTGACTCCCTGATCATTACAAAACTTTTGACATGAAAGAGTGTTGGATTTTCTCAAAGGCTTTTCCAATATCTAATGAGATGATCATGTGATTTTTTTCTTTTGGTTTGTTTATATAGCAGATTCCACAAGAAACTCATATCTCTAAAGAAGGAAACTAGAGAAGGTATCAGAAGATGGGAAGACCTCCCCCACTTATGGATTGGTAATATTAACATAGAGAAAATGTCCATCTTAGCCAAAGCAATCCACAGGTTCAATGCAGTTCCCATCAAAAATTCAACACAGTTTTGTTTTTACAGATATTGAAACAGCGATTCTCAACTTTATATGGAAATACAAAAAAACAGAGAATACTGAAGACAAACAATACTGAACAATAAAATCTTCTGGAGGAATCATCATCCCTGGTCTCAAGCTGTACTACAGAGCAATAGTGACAAAAAAAACTAACAAACAAACAATAATAATAACCTGCATGATATTGCTACAGAAACATCCAAATAATCAATGGAATTTAATCAAAGACCCAGAAATAAACCTACACAACTATAGACAACTATAGACACTTGATTTTTGACAAAGAGGACAAAAAGCATACAATGGAAAAAGAAATCATCTTCAGGAAATAATGCTGGTCTAACTGGAGGTCTGCATGCAGGAGAATGAAAAAAACCATATTTATTACCCTGCAAAAACCTCAATTCCAAGTGGATCAATAACATCAACATAAAACCAGATACACTAAATATAATAGTAGAGAAAATGGGAAATAGGTTTGAATTCATTGGTACAAGGGACAATTTTCTGAACAGAACTGGCACTAAGATCACCAATTAATAAATGTGACCTCATGAAACTGAAAAGCTTCTGTATGGCAAAAGACAATGTCATTAGGACAAAATGGCAGCTTACAGATTTGGAAAAGACCTTCAGCAACCCTTTATCTGACAGACGGCTAATATCCAAAATATATAAATAACTCAAGTAGTTAGACTTCTACAAACCAAGTAACCCAATGAAAAACTGGGGTATAGTGCTAAACAAGGAAATATCTAAAGAGGAATCTCAAAGGGCTTAAAAGCACATAAAGAATTGTCCAACATCCTTAGTTATCAGGGAAATGGAAATCAAAATGAACCTGAGATTCCATCCTATAACAAAAGGCATGGCTAAGATTAAAAAAAAAAAAAAAAAAAAAACCTTAAGTGACAGCACATGCTGGCTAGGTTATGGAGAAAGGGGAACACTCCTCCATTTCTGGTGAGATTGCAAACTTGAACAACTACTCAGGAAATCAATCTGGCTTTTTCTCAGAAAATTGGTAATAGTTCTACCTGACAACCTAGCTATATGATTCATGGACATAAACCCAAAAGATTCTCCATCATGCCACAATGACACATGCCCCTTTATGTTCATAGCAGCCTTATTTATAGTACCTAGAAGCTGGAACAGCCCAGATGCCCCTCATTTGAAGAATGGAAACAGAAAATGTGATTCATTTACACAATGGAATAATACTATTCTGCTATTAAAAACAAGGATGTCATGAATTTTCCAGTCAATTAAATGGAACTAGAAAATATCCTCAATGACGTAACCAAGACCCAAAAAGAAAAGCATGGTAGGTACTGAGACTCAAAAGAAAAAGCATAGTATGTACATACTGGTGAGTAGATACTAGTCATAAAATACAGCATACTCACGATACAGCCCACAGACCCAAAGAACTTAAAGAAGAAGGAAGTTCCAAGTGAGGATGCTTGAATCCAGCTTAATAGGGGAACAAAACATTCATAGGAGGCAGAAAGAGTGAGAGGTCTAGATGGTAGAGGGGATGGAGAAGGTAATAGGAGAACAGGATCAGATGTGGAAAGAGGCAAGAGAGAGGGCCAGAGGGCCAGGAGAATAAGTGAAAATATGCAGCTTACTAGGGTGGAGGTGGGGGAATTGGGAATCTTAGGGTGGGTTAGGCTTCCAGGACTCAGTGTGGGTGACCTTAGCCAAGATGCCTAACAGTGGGGACATGGAAACTGAAACAGTCAGGCATTATCACTCCCAAATAGAGAGATAATGATGCCAACCCACCCACAAAACTTTCCACCCAAAATTTGTCCTGTCTAAAAGGAAATGCTAGGACAAAGATAGAGCTGAAGGAATGGTCAACCAATAACTTGCCCAGCTTGACACCCATCCCATAGGTAAGCACCAGTCCTTGAAACTATTAATAATACTCTGTTACACTTGCATACAGAAGCCTAGCACAGCTGTCCTCTGTGAGGCTTTACCAAGCAGCTGGCTGAAACAAATACAGATACCCACAGCCAACATTGGACAGAGGTTGAGGACTCTCATGGAAGAAATGGCAAGTGGATTGAAGGGCCGGTGGTGGATAGGAATCTCACCAGAAGACCAAAAATGTCACCTAACCTGGATCCCTTGGAGCTCTCAGAGACTGAGCCACAAATCAAAGAACATACACTGGCTACACAGAGGCTCCTGCCATAGATATAGCAGACATGCAACTGAGTCTCCATGTGATCCCCCCAAAACTGGAGTGAGTGGCCCTCCCTAAATCTGTAGCCTGACTCTGGAATCCTTTCTATGACAGGGCTTTCTTTTCTGGCCTCAGTGGGAGATTATGTGACTAATTCTGCAGAATCATGATGCAACAGAGTGGGGGGTATACCTAGAGGATCTGCAACTTCTAAGAGGAGAAGGGGCAGGGTGAAGTGACAGGGATACTGGGAGTTGGGGCAGAATTTAACATGTAAATAAATAAATAAATAAATAAATAAGGAACTATATTTTCTCCTAAAATAATTAATTCATTTGGAAGATAATGGAGTGACTCAGTTATAAAATTACATTAAAAGTTATATTAAAATACAGAAGAGAAGTAATATGAATTTTCTCTCATATAAAAAATTAATATGCTTTGTACTTTTTCAAAATGAAATGTACTACCAGTTAATTTTTACTTTTTCTTATAAGATCATATTTTATTGAAATTATGTTCGCATATTTTATTTACATATTATAGTGAAGTTATACCATTTTATGAGTTGTTCAAATTTCGACTGGTGAGTCCTCAATGGTATTCAGTGTGTACATTGCTCTTTGTGGTATATACTCTAAGTATTGTGTAAAAATAATTTAAGTTTACATTCAAATCAATGAACATTATTTTACTGGACTTATATAGCAATGTGAATATATATTCCAAGGACATTTTCAGATACAAAAGAGAACTGGGCGCTAGAGGCTGATAAGTTGAGTGAGTGCTCAGAAAAACCCTTTCTGTGGAAGTGACAGGGGTAAATGATGACAAAGTCTCTTTCCTACTAATGACAGAGGAAAGAGTTAGAAACCTGAAAGAAACCACAAGATCAAAGACAAATTAGTCCGAGTAATACTGCATTGACTTGTATTAAATTAAAACACAGAAGTAGGAAGCAGGCATGTGAAAAGACTTCTAACTATTTCCATCTCCACTAATGAACTCCTATTTGTGAAGATTTCAGCAGGCACTAACAGAGCAGAAGGAATGATAGCACCGCCAATGGTCAGCTGTACAGCCATTCCCACACGATAACACATCATTTACAGCAGCAAATGACTTGAAGAAATATATAAGTTTCTGCATTTCTATCTAACAACTTTGTTTACAAGAGACTATCAAGAACATAAAGAGGAAAAGAAATGATTGGCCAGTGTGCTGCTTGTTCTCATTTAATCTGACTGTAGAATCATGGTCCTTCTAATGTGTGTTTATAGTGGACTTGTACCTACAACTCCCTGGACATTGAGCTATTTCCCCAGTTTTATAATTGTGACAACATTTAAAAAGAGAAGGGAAGTTCTTACAGGCAGAGTACAGATGTTAGTATAATGTCACAGGAAATACATACACATCTAAAAGAGGACAATAGCTCTGGGTACCATGGTCTGTTTGAAGGAAAAAATAACTACAAAATAAAAAGAAGGATGAGCCAAGAAAAAAGAGCAATGGTCTTGTAAGAAATGGTTGTCAAGGCTTTTTTAATTTATAACAAATGCAAATGGGCATTGACATTTCCTAAGGAGAAGACAGAACATTTCCCAGAAGATTTCAGCATCTCAGAGGGCAGGATGAGGAGGGAAACAGGAGGAGAGAGCATCCAGCATGGCTGAGTCTTCTGAGCATGTGCTTCTCTTGCACCACTTCTCTGAAATCTTCCTCACTCAGGTCAGCAGCAGTCCCCAGACTGTTGGCTACTGCCACAGCAGCCACTGCTGCCACCACTGCTGCCACAGCAGCCACTGCTGCCACCACTGCTGCCACAGCAGCCACTGCTGCCACCACTGCTGCAGCATCCAGAGCTGTGGCGATGGCGACGGAAAGATCTGCGAGGTCTGTGGTGACTCAGGCAGCAGCCTCCACCACCAGAGCTGCAGCAGCCACCAGAGCTGCAGCAGCCACCAGAGCTTGAGCCACAGCAACTCCCAGAACCCAGGCTACAGCAGGAAGACACAGGGGGACACTTGGGAGGACATTTAGGGGGACATTTAGGAGGGCACTTTGGCGTCTGGCACTTGGGAGGGCATTTGGCAGGGGGCTGGCACTGCTGCTGGCTCTGCTGGCAGGACATCTCAGCTGTGGGTGTTCAGGAGCTGTGAGAGAGTCACACACATGTCAGACACCAGACTGTGGCCACTTGACCAATGCTGGCCCCAACCCTGCCCAGAAGTATCACTGATCATCATAGAAACACTATCTATAATCATTTCATTTATAATATTCTCTGGTTGTCACATTCTGTTTATAATGGCGGCTTTGGAACATCAGAAACCTGAGTACATGAGATATGGTTACCTGAAATTCAGCAGGTCTAAATAAATATCTAGTGACATTTAGAAAATATCTGCTATTCTTAGTCCTCACACATGTCAGTACATGTGCTGTTTCAAAGATGACTAATTGTAAAGGAAAGAACAATAAGTTTTTTAAGATGCTTTTAGTTTTTCAGTATTTCATAGGATCTTCTAGGAATTTTAGGGAGTAAGCTCAGCCACTGACAGAAAAATATGTAAACCCTGTTCAGACCTCCATGGGAGCACAAGCTCCTGTTGTGTGGCAAGAGATCAGATGTGTCCAAATCGTCACCTGCTCAGGCTAAGGGTGACAAGCTCAGTGTCATCCTGATGGTGTCCAGTTTATCACAGAAATATGTGAACAGATTCCAGAAGTAGGATTCTCTTTCCCATGCCAAACTGAAATCCTGTTGCTCTTTCCTGACTCTAGCTCTTTGCTGGTAGTGAAGGGAAACTTTTTCTTCAGAAGCCAGTTCCCCCTAGAAACCTGTCCTGATGCATAGTTATTTGTGCTGAATTTCCCATCCTAAGAGGTCCTATACACTGAAGATACTTTGTACTCTCCAGGGCTAGAATACCAGAAGCTTTCCAGTGTCTCTTTATCAAGGCTGTGGCTAGTGCCTGATAATGCTACCCTTGCCTCACTGCTCAGACTTCACCATATTTTATGATCCATCAATATAGCCACAAGGCTGAGGGATCCTTCCCAGTACCATTCCAGTTCCAGTATGGCTCCACTCTTAAAGCCTTTGCCCTTACCTCCAGTGAACACTTACCAAGATAATGGGTAGCACAAGATCTGTGGGTATCTTAGCCAGTGAGTAGATGGAAGTGCTCTGTCCATTGGTCCTTTTATTCTGACCCCGGGCTCTGTCCCAGCCTATGAGACAAGGGCTGGACATGGCACACCCTTCCTTCTGACACCCCCTTAGTCATATGATTAGTGATGACCAGTTGTTTCTCCCATCTTCCTCTATGATGTCCAGGCACTGCACCTATCTTAGAGCATGACTTAGACACGAGGGGAGGAAGTAAATTCCTGGATTCTTAATCCTGGCATTCAATCAGAATATCCACAGTATGAATCAGTCATGTTTCCATCACCTATGCCTCTTTATGCTGGCTTTTATTTTGAGATGTGCACCTTGTACCCCAAGTAGAGCTAACAAAATGTTAAAGCTTCTTGTATGTCTCCTTCCACCCATTCACTTTCCCTCTATCCCTATGTGTGTGTACTTTAGACATCTACATTGCATAATGTAAAACCTTGCACAATGGATCTGCCTCAGCACCATGATATGTTGAGGTGTTGTCCTAAAAGTCAATTTAGTCTATGTTATTTCCCATGTCAACTATTACAATAAAATATTAATGACAATATATATCAGAATATTATGAGAGTAAATGAAATATCAAAACAAGAGTAAGAAATAGTGTCTGGCAGTAGTAGGGGATCATAGGAGAGTGTTTACAAAACATGTGAAACCTGCTACATGTAAGATGAGGATTCTACCATTAAACAGTATAATATGAACTGGATAAATGGCTCAGTGGTGAAAATTGCATACTCCTTTAATAGAGCCCTGAGGTCAGTTCCCAGCATCTGATAGGATGGCTAATGTAACTCCACTTCCAGGGGAAGAAACAATGACCACTGTTCTGACCTCCAAAGGCACAAGGTATCAATGCACATAAATATATAATTAAAATATTAATAATTTTTCAAATGATACTTGAAAGATGGTAGAAATCTTCAGTATATATTATCTGTATGAAAATGTCACAAGAAAACTATTATTTTGTAAAATTAATGTTCATTAATAATATAAAAAGCAGAGCTACCTCCCAGAGTGTAGACCTTCTTATCTTTGTTGTTTGACTCTTCAAATTTAATCTTCATATATATTTTTATATAGGGTACTTCATATTTTCATATGCATCACTGGTTGGGGCTATAATAGTATTATTTTCACTATTTCACTGTTACTAGATATTCTGTAGAAGCCAGCATACTTCTGTCATGGAAAAAGCCAACTATTTCTGGTGACATTACAGTTGGTTAAGAGTTCAGAAGAGAATCAGGAAAGAAGTTCATATGAAATACAAAGAGTGAAGTTCACAGTTGAGACATTGAGGATTGAAGCATACGCTGGGAGACACTGTCAATCTATTCCTATATGTGAAGCAAAATAGTTAATTGGGCCATATCCCCACCTGTAGGGCAGCAAGTGATTTTAAAAGAAGCAGTCATTGAATATACATACAATACATTATTTTAGTTTTAAGAATATAATTTAAAGTATGATTTCTTATGACTTTTTCAGGAACCCATACCCTGCTCTCCCATTCTGTACTCCTCTTCCTTTCCTAATTTGATTCACTCTTTTCCCATTTCTCAGATCAGATCACTTGTCCCCTACTATTTATTCTCTGTTGCACCCCCATACCAGAACCCTAGCAATGGTCCCATTTTACTTTCCAAGTTTCTGAAGTTATTCCACATATGTACTCAGACCTGAAGATTTAGAGCTAGAAGCCTGTGATGAGAGAAAATAAATGATGTTTCTTTGGATCTGAGTTACCACTCTCAGTATGGTCATTCTATTTTCACCCATTTATATATAAAGTTCTTTTTATTTTTCTTTACAACTGTATACTTTTCTGTAGTGTGTGTGTGTTGCTATAGAAAGTTGTTTAATATATACGAATCATGTTTTTATTATCCATTTTTCCACTGAAGGTCATTTCAGTTATTTCTCTTTCCTACCTTTTGTGAATAGAGCAGCAATGAACATGACTCAGCAAGTATCTGTAGAGGAGGATATGAAAGAGAAGCCCTCTTTTGAGTTGTTAATCAGAGTAATTCAAGAAAGTCCTCAAACATTCCAAGCTACTGCTCTAGCCCATGGTTGTCTCCCAGAAGTGAAAATTAAATACCTTCTGCTGAAGATACCATACACTCAGACACAGGGTTCACAGGCCCATGAGCTAGAAATTTTAGGTGAAGATGCCATGCATGCTTCCATAGGAGGGAAGCCACTAATAGTCCTATCCAGCTATGATGTCTATGAAACACAATAACAACCAGCATGGCATGATAACCATAAGAATGCAACCAGCACACACATCTTGGTGGCAAACAAAAGCTCTCTAATTAGACTTAAAATCTGATAGGTAAGGGGAAAATCATGCCTGGTGTTGGAAATCTAGTGAACTACCCCAACTAATGAGGTCATAGATATTGTAGGATGTTCTATAACCAATATTTTATTAATCTAGCACAATCCCTAACTGCATTCTAAACATTTATTCTTATAGCCGCAGATAAGTGTATTTCTCCTATTCATCAATAGATGTAAACCTTTACAGAAAACCACAGCTAAGGTAAATGCAGAGTTGTGGCGCTCAGACCTAACTGATACATCCACAATACTATGGCCATCCCTTAAAGCTCAGGGATCATCGTAAAAATGGGGACAAAAAGATTGTAAGATTCAGAGGAACAGGGGATTAATTGTGCAATTATATCTCCTAAGACTGTCAAAAGATACAGTCAAAAATTCTCACCAACATGACTCTATAAGTATGAGCTGGACAAGAACAACTCCAGACATGCTGACATGAATTGGATAAACCTACTAGACCTCTGTGCTGGACAAAGAACTACAGGCAACTAGGGAATGCTGTTAATGGAAGAAATAGTACTTCCAAGAGAAGAGTATATCAATTTGTTATCTAATACCAAATGGACACCTCTTAAAACATACATAATATTATATAGACTATAGACTTGACATTGACTATAGACTTGTATTTAAGAACAGACATACTCATGTGCACATGTGTGTATATGTGTATATATGAATATGTGTGCATATGTGTATATATGTATAAGTATAATATATGTTTATGTGTATATGTGTATATGTAACAACAATTTTTGAAAACAGAAGCCATGGATTCTCTCTCTCTCTCTCTGTCTTTGGTTTTCATTAGTTTTCTTCATGTGCATAGGCTGTACATGAAGGTACTATTTTGAACTTGTATTTTTAATAAAATTTTAATGGAAATAGTTTGTATTCTCTATAGAATGGCAGAATGGCATGGTGGTAGAAAGTCATACTTTAACATTACTCCAAAGTTAAAAAAAAAAAAGTCAGTGTTGAGTTAGATATTTAAATGAGTGGCACCTGGTCTGTCTGGGGAATCAGGGCCACCATGTTCCCGACTAAGCAAGGCCTGTGGTCACGAGTATTTTCACCCCTGCTTGGCTCAGACCTCCAGCTCAGGTGGCCAGAGACACCAGCCCTGCCACCCACAAGATGCCAGAGCGGGAGATGGCTCTGACAATCTTCCACGGTGTCTCCACAAGGCTGAGCTGAGACCAGACTATCCCTACACAGAGGCCCAGTAGAAAATGAGACACTAATGCTTATTCAAAGGGTTTATATGTTTGGTAATGCTCAATAACAAGACGCCCTCACAATCAGAGGTGTAACCCAATACCCAACCTAGATATATCAACTACCTTTGACTGCTAGACACACACACACACACGTCCGCTTCCACATTCCCCTCTCTATTATCTTCTCTCCCCTAGTTCCTCCTTTTTCTTCTCCTCTTCTTCTCCTTCTCCTCCTCTTCCACTCCTTACTTTTCCCACCTTAGCTCCTCCCAACTTTCAGGAAAAATATCCCGCTACAGGTCAGTGCAGTGTAGACAAAGAAAAGTCAGCTTGAATTAGATGATTGACAAAGCCTCTTCTCCACAAATGCTGATTGACTCTGGAATTGCCAAAATCTTGAAAAACAACACGAAGCTGGGTCACTTGAGAAGGGTAAACTCAAATGAAATGTGGTAGGGTTATGTGGATATTTATAAACATGTATAGAGTCTACATAAAGAGATGTGTACCTCTTTATCGTCTATTTATCATGTTTGTCTGTCTACCATCTTTCTTTTTTCTAAATGCATCTACTCTTTATACATACTCAAATTCCTATATCAAAATATGGCATCCAAATTTCCTTTGTCTATCAATGATTGTTTTGCAATATCAGATAAAATAAAAGATGTTAACACTCCCATAAATCATTAGCAAAGACTTGTCCAGGACTGTATACCACTTAACAGGAGTAAAATCATTATGCTATACAGCTCTTTTTGCTACCTGTTCCTGAAGAAATTCTGACCTGCTCTCAAAACTGTTTTTTAGGGAATGATGAATGCTATTTTTCATACTTCGTGTATAAATCTTCCTTAGGCACACACCATGCCCTTTGGCTTCCAGGATATTGAAGCTGGATTCTACTTTTTTTTTTCTTTCAATCAATTATATTTAATGTAATTATCATGTGATTCTTTGACAACCTTTGTTAGAGTTTGTGAGCTTTTTTCTTATCTTCAGTTGTTGGACACAGCACTATGCATACAGTAGATATTTTATGGTATCTAAGCCTCTCACTACCACCATCACTGATGTCTCAGCACATAAATAGCTATTCCTTATGACTTAAGGTCACCACATGGAAACAAGAACTCTCTGAGACAGACAGAGGCATGTGTTTCAACATAACCTTGAGAGACTTGCCACTGTCGTACCTGGTCTGACATTTGCTCTTCTACATAGGGTGTTCCAAAGTGATTAGTAATAGGGAAGAGATCATGAATTGATTCCTAGTTTCCATGATAGTTCTGTTCTGGTCAACTCCTGACTTCTAGGATGACTAGGATGAAATGAATCTGTTCCATACTTATGCTTCTGTACATGACAACACCTAGTTCCTCAGCTGACGTGAAGGGAATAGGTATGTATGAGTAGTATACCTGC